GGTAATGGTGGGGATGGGGGGTAGGGTGGAGGGGAATGAAGGGGGGAATAGAACAACTGTAACAGCATAATCAATAAAAAAAATTTTTTAATTAAATAATTTTTTAAAGTCCAAAAAAAAAGTGTAAGATATGTTTTAGTTATATACTGCTATGTATTAAACTACCTCTTCCAAAACTTGGCTTAACAGCTATTTTTTTCATATGCCATCATTCTGAGGAACAGGATTTTGCCTAGGAATTGGCTGAATGATCCTTTTGATGTGACATCAGCTCGGTCATTAGGTGATAGTGGACAGACGGTCCGTTCCAGATGACCTAGGGCAGCTTCACTCACGTATTTAGCCTCACTGGTGATGCCTAGAAAACAGCCAGCGAGACCACTTACCCACGGCTTCTCCTGCTGGCTTGGGTTGCCTCACTGCATGGCACCCCAGGGCCATTGGAGGTACGTGAGGTTTCAGGACTCCAACAGATTGTTTTCCAAAAGGCTCAAGCAAAACTGCAGGGCTTTTTATCATCTAGCCTTAACAAGTCTCAGAATGTCATATATTTGACATTTTGTTGATTAGATAAATTCCTAAGAGTAGCCCAAACTCAAGAGTAGACACAGACACCATCCTTCAGCAGAAGTAACAAAGCATTTGCATCCCTTTGTAAGCTGGCATAGTATACAGAAAAAAGCGTGCCTCACATGAATGTACAAATTGACACACTTCTACACACCGACCACACCCAAACAACCCACACCCAGGTTAAGAGTCGGAATATTGCCATCACCCCAGAGCCCTGTTGCATTTTCCTCCTTTTCAGTTATAAGCCATTCCCTCAACAATAACCTCTATCTTAACTCCTAAAAGCGTAATTTGGTTATAATGGTTGGTATAAAAGAGTTACATGTACATCTTCCTTTGGATCTAGCTTTGTGTTCAAGTTTATGTCTGTGAGAATTTCTACACATTGTGTAGTTTCGGTATTTATTTTCGTTGCTATATTGTACTCTCTTGTAAAAATGTAACAAATTTTATTTATTCATTCTACTGTAGGGGATTTTACATATATGTGTGTGTGTGTGTATGTATATGTATATATGTATATATACATATACATATGTGTTCGTGTATATATGTACCTATATGTGTATGTGTATATATACACATATATATGTATATATATTCCTGGTCTGGGCTATTACTTAAAACTACAGAAGTCTTCTCATTTGCAGACTTTTTTGATATGAAGTGGGACTTTTCTACACTATCACATGAAACAATGTGTTTTATAATATAGAATAAAAGCAAACTTGTCATTTTCATAATTTTCTGCTTGCATATTTTCAATACCTATTTCTAGTACATGATGTCAAAAATCTACAACAGCCCAAATAAGTGATTTTTAAGAGGGAAGGCATTCTTTTCCCCAAAAAAGCTACTTTGAGGTATTCCATTTTTAATCACTGGATGAAAAGACCTACATGTTTATTCAGGACTTCTTTGATTTTAGACAAAAGGAACTATTGGAACTTTTGGAACAATAGTTCCAAAATCAGGAACTATTGATTATGAGCTTATTATCATTCTGTTTTTCACAATCAAAACATAGTTATTATAACAAGTGTCAGCACCTGTCATATCCACCACATTCTCTCCTGCCTATGCTTTATGTTGATTCCACTACTTTAGTACATTTATCTTTTAGTTAAATCTAAAGAGTAAATTACAAGGGTCACAAAAGACATAAAAAGATAAACCGTGGGAGAGAGTTTCCATGGAACAAAATGGCTGGATTTTGGCTAGAACGATTCCTCATGGTCATCAGTGTACATGAGAGGGACCGAAGGCAAATAGGAAAATTGTTGTGATGGTTCATTACCCTTCTCTGGACATGCCACCCTTTGGGACAAGTTCTTAGGATAAGGCTAGAATTTTCAAGGTGTTAGAAACAAAGCTATTGCAATAAATCTCAATTAAATAAACAACTTCATTATTAAAAAGATACTTTTATATAATTACTGCCACATCACAAACCCTAAAGCAACCAGTGGGAGCAAACTCATGGTGGAGCTCAGTGATCTTCTCACATAAGCACAAGCTCTGATCCTCAGCCATAGGCATAGCTGTTTACTGGATTACACTACACTTCTGAGCACAGAATCACAGAAGCATTACTAGAAATGTCTCTGTGTGTTTCTAATATTTTTAGACATATTTCAGAGTCTCTGACAAGTCGAAAATGTTGCTAAGTGTTTACTCTATATGTCTCATCTTTATTAAATTAGCAAATATTGGGCAAATCAGGATTTTCTTTTATGTTAAAACAATAAATTGGACCATCTCACCCTTGTCCTCATAACTTTTTGTTTAGTTTATCACTATTCAAAGTTGGAAGTTAGTAACGCTAAAGCAAAAGGAGCAATTTACCATGAAGGATTATTTTTACTAGACAAATTTCAACACAGTATAAATCAGTTTGTGCTAATGTTACAACTTTTTACTTTTGCCATTTAGTAAACAAATAACAGCCTATATTCCACTCTTTCTATTCACATCATAAACTTGTATATTATTGGAGATTTCTGTATGTATTAGGAAAAGGGAAAAGTTGCTGGAAAGACAGATTCGGGACAAAATTCATCCCCAGCACTTAATAGCTGTTTCCTCTTGAGTAGTTTTATAAACCTGCTTGTATCACAGTTTTCTTCGTTGTGAAATAAGGATGCTCAACATTCATAGATAGATAGTGCTTGGGAAGTTACCAAAAGAAGTGATGCATAGAAAAATCCCCTAAAAGAAAGATTACTAGCACCCATCTGTAGTCATCACTTGGTGCCAGGTCAAATTTTGCCCTAAAACATCTTCATAAATAAATCTAGGAAATACGGTATTCATTTTTAAAAATCCCGGCAGCAACACTGGCTCTAGAAAGTCTCTTGACCTCAATCCTTTCCTGTGTAATTGACAATTCTCTATTCTGCATTTTTACCTATTAGAGCACCTTAAAATTGTGTCACACTTCTGTCTCTTTATTTTTACAACCTATCTTCCTTTCACCTTTTCAGGTGAACATAGAAATATTTCTATTCTTATGGGATTCCTATGATAGGGTTCAACTACAGGTTCCTAACAAATACTTGAAAGAATGAAAAAGGGAATGAATGCACAAAACCAGAGTTCAAAGCTGCAAAGTAGGAGCGTGGGTGAATACGCGACTAAGGGAAGCTCAGGACAGGAGGAACCAGCTTATCAACTGGTTTACAGGCCAGTAGTTGAATGTAGCTACACTTACATGATTCCAGTAAAAAATACTGCTAATATCTAAAACTGTATTTCCATTTTGTAGGCCATGCTTGAGGGGGTGTGTGCATACACCTGTGTATAAAAAATAATGCAATGATATTACCTAATTCAATAACCTTTCTATTCTCAGAAGATAAATAAGAGATAACACACTACTAAGAATTTCCAGTAGGATGTCTTTTTATTTTTAAATTTAAATGTAATGTATAGATATAGTGCTTTGTCTCATAATACTCCAGCTGCATCTCTTAAGATAGAAAAATAATGATAATGACTTATAAGAAACCATTCCACATGGCATGGGAACTGTAGCCTAGGCCCTGTTTTGGAAAACCGACAGGGAGCTGGGTCAGCAATCGGGACCCAAACCCATGGGTAGGTTTTCCAGAGGGGAATCAGGTCTGCATTGTACCTAGGCTGCTTTGAGGCTTGCATTTTGCTAAATCTTCCTCGCCCTAATTGAGACAGCAAATGTTTACTGCATATCTTTAAAGTAGCTTCCTAAAATCTATGCTAAACCTCCCAAGAATGAGTGTAACCAGTTCAACCACTTTTTCCTTTGCATTTGCAAATATCCTTCTTCTTTGATATAATTAGCAACATGCTCTCCTTTGTTTTATGCAAAGGGTTGAAGGAATCCTCTCCTTTATTTTCTGTAAAGGGTAACCACCTAAAGCGAATCTGTGCATAGTAAATGAGGACCATCCTTGATGTAAGGTGCCTAGAAAAGCAATAAAAGCTTGTCCAGGCAGGGGTCAGGGGCCTCTCTCACTCAGAGTGGCCACGCTGTCTTTCTTTCTCCACAGGACTTCTGTAACCCGTGTGAATTTCTTCATTGCATCCACGGCACATGGACCCCCGCATCAATGACTTTGAAAGTGCCAGCCAATATATAATCTACACTCAAATCCTTAGTTATTTCAAAACTTGCATTTGGTAGCTGCTTTTGATCAATCATGATCCTAGTCAGGATTCTGCAGGTAGTTATTATCTCTTTAATTTCTTAAACCAGAAGAACACCACCTCCCCCTGCTTCTTTGTCATTATTATCTTTCTCCTGTATTAGTTTTCTGTTGTACTGTAATAAATTACCGTAAAGTTCATGGTTTTAAACAACACAGATTTATTCTTTTCCAGTTCTGGAGATCTGAAGTGTAAAATGAATCTTATGAGACTAAAAATCAAGGTGTCATCAGGGTGGCTTCATAAGATAGTGTATGAAAGAAGCCACTCGTCACATCTTCCACTTCTAGAGGCTGCCAGCGTGCCTGCAGCTCCTGATTACATCTCTGTGCTCCTATGGGCACATGACCTTTTTCTCTACTGTAGTCAAATCTCCCTCTGTATCCATCCATTTTTTATGGCATCAACACATTCATTGACCACTCAGATAAACCAGGAAAACCTGTATGCATCTTAAGATCCTTAACCCAAAGTGCAGAATTTTTTTTTAACATATAAAGTAGTGTTGCTGGTGGAAATCAGCCTCCTTCAAGGGATCATTAGAAAACCCTTTCATGGGCCTATACATGGGAGATTGTATTATAGCAAGATTTTTAAGGGGTGGAAATAGGAGGTTGTCCCTGTGCCCCATCTCTCTCCATTCTGCCATGGAAAAAGTCCAACCACTGTAATCAGCAAGGCCAGAACAAAGACCAGAGTCCAGAGTTTCTGTTTCATATTAAAGCTTAGTCCTTTGGAACCCAGGCAGCTGCTAAGTGGTCTCAGTCCCCATCCAGGCAGCTTACTGTTCCTCCTGGCTGTACTGATGTACCCCACCCAGGCCTGGAGCTTGTGTTTGCAGCCCCTGTCACTGCTAGACCCTCATGACTGCTATGGAGAGAACATGCAAACAAATGAGGTCAGTATGTGTTCCTGAGTAAGAGAGTTTCTTTGTTAAATTGGGTTATATTATCATGGGCTTGGATGAACCAGGTACTCTTTCAAAATAACCGATCAACTTCCCAAGCTTTTATAGGTTTCTGATGGGTCCACCCCCTTCCCAATTTATCCCTTTCCCAGGTTAGACTGACAGATGTCTATGGTCAAGCACCTCTCCCTTTGCCATTTCAATTCATACTGGGCATATGTCTATTTCCCCCCATAGTCTGAGTGAGTGGACCAGGGAGATTGAAAAGCTGATCCTTCCTCCCTGTACAGGGGAAGCTGGTGGAGGTGGTTGTTAATCCTCTTTGCAGAGTTGTAATCCCCTGGGAAATGTGTGACGATGTAACTTCCTGGTGAAATAAACTTATGCTCTCCAGTTGATTACTCTTAATAGTGTCTGATTCCCTTTGCTTATTTTCTTTGTTAATATTCAGCTAACTACCTACAGTAAAAATAGCATTCACCGCTTTTGAGAATTAAGATTATTTTAATCTCTGGACATCCTGGAAAGCCATTCCAAGCCTATACAATGTATATTATATGAAATCTTTAAAGAGACCAGGCCAGTTGTCTTTCAGAATTTCCTACATTCTGGATTTGCCTAGTATTTCACTGTGTCATTTTACTTGTTCTTCTATGTCCTATGTTTTTTATACAATGGAGATTAGCTATTAAGACTTCATGAGATCTAGGCTAAAAACTTTTAGCAAAAGTAATATATAGGAGATGCTGTGAACTTCTGGTTATACCACATTGGAGGATATGGACTGTCTGTTCTGCCTCAGTGATACTTGGATGGCAGTGTTAAGGGAGTCACTCTCAGATATCTCTGGTATAATTTTCCTTTGGAAACTGTCAAGACATATTTTGGGATTTTATTTGGATACTCTGTGAGCATCCTATTTTATCTAATAACTTTAGTGAACTTTGATAATCCTACTGTCTCACTTTTTTACTTCCACCTCCTGCAGATCTCTTAAAACTTTGCAAATCTCTTCTTTCTTTCATTACAGATTATGGTTCAATGAGTACAATCTAATCTTTCTTTGATATAAGAAATCTCATAAGCTTGGGGGTCCTCTTTTGAACAGTAATTTTTTCAAACACTAATACAGTAACAAAGAAGAAAATCCAGCTAATTTAAGAGATCCTGTTACAAAAATCCTGATTTTTAAGGGCTTTGAAACAATGACCCTTTTTCTATCTCTTATAATGATTTCTAAACAATAGTCTTTGGACAGGATCCATGAATAGAAATGACATCATAGGTATATCAAAAGAGATCCTGACCTATTGTGTTCTGTTCTTTATATTACAATAGAAGATTATCGCATTTGGAAAGTTGGGGTATTCTGATATCATGTTTTCTGTTGGCTGGGATGACATTTCCTTGATGTGGAAGATTCTCTCCGTGGACCTTATCAGACTCATTTCCCTAGAAAGAAAAGCTTATGGTCAGACGGAGCTCACTGAGAACGTGGTCATGATCACCTTCCCATTTCACTCTCATTCTCAAACGATTACAATCATCTTGCCAGCAGAGACCTGATTGAATTTTCCCAGGAAATTTTATTTGATTGAGATCTAGTGTCAGAGTCTTTTGTGCCCATCCCCAAAACCGCCCCCATCACCAATGATTAAACGACTCTGTTGCCAGTGTAAGTCACAATGCCTAGGGCGATTGCATGCAAGATGCTGACCAGCTGTTTCCTTTCTCCACTACATACTGACTACAAAAGAGAGAGAAAAAGTGTTAGGATCAGGGCTTTAGGTTAGACCAGATTAGCTTCCTGCCTGAAATGTATAACCAAGGCAACCTCTATGATTTTATTTCCTGACTATACATGAGAAAGTGCTAGCCAGATCATCAAATACACCAAAATAAGATGGAAGAAAAGACTGATCCTTTTGAGTTCAAATATTTTAGGTTGTGTATTTTTCCTACAAGGGTACCACAGAGTAAATTAATGTTTAATTTTATTTGATATTGGTTTTTGCCTTCTTTCACTATAGAAGGAACAGCTACTTCACTATATGGAGTTGGCAGGGAAAAACATTTCAGAAAAAGATTGGTATTGTTCACAATATTTGGGTTTATGGCCTTGAAATATAACAGTTTTTCTATCTCAGAAGGGAGAGCATCATCATGGAGTCAGGAAATGTTATGTACATCATTCCTCAATGTACCAGGTGCTGAATAATCCTGGCCCAATGCTCCTGCTGGCAGCTCAAGTTCTGGCAAGCCTGTGTCCCTACCTAAAAGCACTTCACCCATACGAAACTCTTCTCCATGAGCTCAGTCTAGGAAAGGCTTCAGGATCTGGTGGCTCTACCTGGGATACTTGGAAATGATCAGGAATGTTCTAAGAAATGAGTCTCTAAGCACATGATGGGAGTAGAAGTAGAGGATCCAGCCTCCATTTTTGGGCTCTGATCCCAAAGCCTTGTCTGGGCAGAGGGATAGCAATGGTCCTCCAGCCCAGTGGTCCTGAAACTCAGCTGTCCCCTGGGGGAGCTTGTTCAAACATACTGCTGGACCACAGAGTCAGGAGAATTTTCATTTTCCAAAACCTCCCTAGATGATAACTCTGTTGCCAGCACGGAGACCACACTTTCCCATCTACTGTAGCTTCTTTTGCCATCAGAAAGACTCAGCATTGGCTCTTTCAGTGAGTAACCCATTCCCCATGACAGACAGGAACATTCCTTTAAGCAGTGCTTGACCAGCTCTACTGACCCTCCCAGCCAGGAGGGTCTCCATGCCTTCTTCTTCGTGACCACAGAAAAGGGAACACTCATAACTCAGAGAGCTGCAAACTACCAACCTCTCTACTTGGTTTAGCACAAGGTTGGGATACAATTTGTGTTCCTGAATAATTAGTCATTATGCAAGATGCACATTTCTGGCACCAGTGGTCAGTTCATGGATCAGGGAAAACACTTCCTAAGTGACTTGCTAAGACCAGCATTCGTAAGTTGTCTTTCATCACAGAAAAATAGGCCCAAGTCGGTCCTAACTCCCCCACTGGGGTCCTCAATGCAAAAGCAAGACTGTAGAGTGAATACAGTCAGGGCTAAAGTCCCAGAAAAGGGGTCACCTTTTCTGGGACTCTACACATGTGTGTGTCTTACAAGTCCCTGATCTGGGTTAGGTATTTCTGTGGCACATAATTAGCTGTACTCAAAATTGTGTACAATGACACCTAATTTCATAAAACATGCCATCTCTTCATTTTTATTCATTCGTTAAGACAACATTCTTGCAGTTCATAAGATTAAGAAGTAGGAAAGGGGACTAAGAAGAAAGAGATGGACTTTTGTTGTCACAGTTCCACGTGATTAGGTGGGGAAGGCAGCTACTAAATATTACTAATATAAGTAATTACTAATTACACTTTAGTGGAGCATGTTACATAGGAGGCAAAAAGAGCATGTTCTATAGGAGGTAAAGTTTGAGCAGTACACGTTATACATTTACTCAACATCCATTCAACAGATCCATTAATCCCCCACTCTGTGGAAGGCACATTAAGCCACCTGTAAGGCCTTCCAGAACAGTGCTCTCCAAAAGAACTTTCTGCAATGGCAGAAATTGCCTACAGTTTCTGCCCAAGTCTGCTATGCAGCTTCTAACTACATGTGGCTATTGAGTGCTAGAAACGCTGTTAGTGTGACTAAGGAAATCTTTTTATTTGCTTATAAAAAAATTTTAAAAGTCACATGTGGCTAGGAACCACCAAACTGAACACCCCTTGCACTCTCCATGCTAACCCAAGAAAAATACATAATTTTGTAGGGAAAAGAAATTTAAGATATAGGGTTTATTGAGAACCTGCAAAGTTTGGACAACAGATGGAAACCTGATAAGGCAGAAAGCCAAACATTTAGTTCGTACTCAACACATTTCCAGCTTTGCTTATTGCAACCTTCTGTTTTCCTAACTATGTTGTTCACTTTTTACGAATGCGATGCATTTCTGCCAAGATCCTGCTCTTTCTTGCCAGTTTGTCTGCCTCTCTGATTTTTTGCCCCAAGATCTTATTTATGGTTTTCCCCAAAAGTGTTCGGTATTCATCATTTTTTCTTTGCCTTTGGAACTATTCAAGTCTGTGTTGGTCCTCTTTTGGCTTTGACGTATACTTAAATTCACATTCATTCTAAATTTTCTTCCTCAAATTCATGTACCAGAAAAACTGGCACACATTTGATTCAACATTGACCACCCTAACAATATTTTTACACTATTAAAATGTTTTGATTTTTAAAGCATACCCATACTTATTATGTAAACAACCCAGGGAAGTCTATTGGGTGAGTTAGCCAACATCACATAGCCTATTTATATTTATTCGTGCCATTGCTTAGTGTGGGTCCTTCATGAGAATGCAAGCTTCTTAGGGGCAAAAGCTTTGTCCATGTACTAATATGTTCTCACTGCCTAGCAGTGTCTCACCTAGAGAAGATACTCAGAGAATCTTTTTTCTGGATACATAATTCACCAAAGGTCTGACCTCTTGTAACACAGACCATCATCAATCGTATTTTCTAAGTCTTTGTGAAAGGGGTTTGTATTAACTTTCAGTTCTGTATTATGAATTCCATGTAAGTTATTGCACAAAGTTGCCAGCATTCAACTCTTTTCCCAATAAGGGAACAACAGTGGTGTGTCTGGCGCACAGTCAATCACTCATTCATGTCTGAGAATGCACTTGAGAACTTCTCACTGCTAGCCACACTGGAGCAATAACGGAGGGAGAATACAGAATGAGACATTAGGGTGCCAGCTGGTCCCAATGGGATGTACATTCTGTCCTGGCAAATTGCATTTTACTCAAAACGCAATTAAAATTGAGTTTTATTGTCATCTTTAGATATTTTTGGAAAGGGATTCTGTCAGAATAACTTTAGTTGTATTCACTCCAAATTAAGGGCATTAATGAAACAAAAATAAAAATGACAAAAGTGGGTGCTAACTTTATGTTTTGCAGGATGGAGACAGGAGCAGTTTCAGTGAGGTTAGCGTTAAGGCAAGCATGAGCCCAGGTATGTATCACTCCATCAGTTAAATCCAGAAAAAAACAAATCAGGTCCCTCTTTCTTCGTGTTAAAATTCAGCATTGCTTTGCAATAGTGATTCATTCCAGCATGTGTGAGATGGATCATCCAAAAATGATCACTGGCCTCAAAAAACCAAAGCAAAGCAGAGGGGAGGGTGGGAAAGGTACTTGTGCCTTGCCTGCTATCCATCACCACCACGGACAGAGAAGAGGTGGCCCTTTAATAGAAACTGGCTAATTTCTTTAGAAATTTCTCATTAGGCCAGCCCTTCCTTAGCTGCTTCTCCATTAAAATGTGATAAATGAATTCTGCCATTGCCAATTCCAGCCTGTCCTTCTTTCCCTTAATGAAATGAAGACACGTCATGCTGGCGAGCACTCAGGACAGAGATAATTATTCACAGGATGCTGGACGAGCTGCGGTTCCCCAGCCTCTCTCGGCCTCACCTATGCTAGAGATGGGACCTTCAGAGGCCTGAAAGGTGTTCGCATGGGGATTCACTTTCATTTTACTCAGGAAAAATATTCTGTGTGTTTGCACACTGTCTCATGACTTTTTATAGATTTACCTATCTCAGATAAGTGTGTTTGTGTAAGAGTGAGAAGATACAAGTTTGCTACTTGCATTTACTGATTTTAAATATAAATCATTTGAATTTAACATTGTCTTAAAGTAGATTTTTTAAAAATTATATTTTTTTAAAATTTAAGCATCTTGTTTATTATCTAAGAGGAAAAAATATGGTGCTATATTTTAAATGTTCGTTTTCCTTTTAAGATACTTCAGGACCTGGATAGCCACAGCATGCTGACCCTGACAATGTAATTCATTATTTCAAGATTTCTGACACTGCTGACTTCCCTTCGCTACCTTTTACTGGTGTCATTCATTTGATTGAAAATTACATTTTCTATTACTTGATGCATCTCTGCCATTGGGCAAAGGTAACAGATTTGTTCTTGTCGTTTCAAAGTCTTTTTAGTCTTTAATGTTTCTCTTTTCTCCTTTTTTCACAAAAATACACAACTGAACCTACTGTTGTAGAAGGATCTGAAATTCATGTATTCTCAAATGGAAATGGATGCCATTCTAAAATACTCCCTCTAGAAAAGGAATTTGCTCGTTGCCAGAGAATAAGTTTTTAATTTTTTTGAGGTTAAACAATATATAAATATATACAAATGGGTTTTTCTGCGTTGCTTACTCTTGTTTCCTTCTTCCCAGTCAGGCACTGTCTCTACACAAACCATGCACAGGTCTCCCAGGCTGCCCCCATCCCACACAATAGCCTGAAAATGGATGGATACCACACCAGCATCAGGAGAAATTGAACACTCCAAATTTTAGGGAGCTCGTCACAGAGCAAAAGCACTTACATAGTAATATTTTTCTCTTGGCTTGTGTATTCCAGTTATTTATTAATGAGTTTATATCATATTTCTAGGCATTTTCTTTTTGTTCCTGAAGAAGATAAACAACTCAATTGTTTTGGTAAGTTAACTAAGCCCAGTCTTAGTTTCTCAAATCAATAACGCTACCTGTCTAGCAAAATATCAGATTTATTGTCATTTTTAATCTTGTCTTCAAAATTGTCATTGTTATCTCTACCTCCATTGAAAGTAGGCCGGGAATGTTATTTCCGGGTATATATTCAGAAACTGAGAAACAGGAGAGGTCAGTTTCCTACCTGGCTGGTGAGTCTCAGAGTAAATGAGACCCTCCTCTCAGTTCCTTCAGAATTGGCCAGAAGCTTATTGCTAGAATTCATGTCTTGATTTCTCTGTACTTTATTTACAAATCTAAAACCACTAAGTAGTGCTAAAAACACACCAAGAATGGAAGGGAGATTAAGAGGTTAGACGAGAATTGATAACACAGTAAGCAGGCATTTTCTTGATTGTTTCTGCTGCTTTATTTGGAAAATTGAACACATACGCAAAAATGCTTAACTGTGAACAATTGGAAAGCCACATAAAGACCTCAAGCCATCATTTTTCTTGTCACTTTGTCCTTTAATAACAGTAATCGTTATAATTAATATCAAAGACAATGTTAGCACAATACAATTATTGAATAATTACTACTGACCTGTCACTGTGCTAACAATTTTGCATGCATTATCTCATTTTATTCAAAGAATGAAGCTACTTGCTGTGAAGTAACTTGCCCAGAGTCACACAGAGCTCAACTCCGGGAGAGCCAGGTCTCTCTGACTTCTAAAATTGAGTTCTGAACCACCTGACACTACATCGAGTTCTTCTTCTGACTGATGATGCATTGCCTCATTTATATTTCAGCTCTTAACCTCCTGCCCGAGGAGCCTGTGTTCCTCCAGCTACCCTCTAATAAACTGAGATTCCCTCTAAAGATTTCCCAGCAAGAGAGTGCTGTTTAAGATAAAATATATCTTAGAATTTAAAAGACTCTTCTGCTAGCACTGTGCTCTTTAAAATCTGAAGTGCCCACCCCCACGCGTGCTATACGCCACAGCCCGCTTAGCCGGGAACTGATGAGAGCTCAAGCTACAGGACAAACAGCTCTCTCAGTTTTGTGCAGGAGCTCAGCACAAGCTGGCTGATCTACATGTCTGAAAAAAAACAGAGCAAGAAAGAAAGAAAAGGAAAAATGACTTTTTTTTTAAATGATCAGCAAGCCAAACAAAAGATAAATGACAAGGTCGAAGAAGAAAGGGCAGGTACCAAGATTAAAATGCATAGAAACAACTGGCAAACTCTCACAGACTGTGTGAGAAGTGCTTTGCATGGAAGTAGTCATAATCCACACTCTCTTAGAAAACGAGCACCATTGATTGCGAGTTGAGTGTTTGATTTAATAGCACCAAAGGAGCAGTGAATCAGGTCTGCATGATTGCCTGCCTCTATGATGTCCATATCTGTCACATAGTATAGGAAAGGCATTTTGCCTATGCCTAAAAGTCTGGGGCCTCAGATTTAGAGCATTTTTCAATGAATTTGAATCACTAAGAGCCAAAAAGTTCAGGTCTGGAAAGCTCTCCTCTCTCCTTCTTCCCTCCCACAGGTGCCTTTTTGTGAGATAGGCCTGGGCTACATTCTAACCTCCAACTTAACAAAGGTGCTTCCTTTTTATTTTTTATTTTTTTAATTTCTAGCTGGCTTTTTCTTTCAATCATTGTGAGAAATCCAGGGGCTCAGATAGTCTCCTGGAAATTCCTTTCCCTGGTGGCAGGTATTTCATGACAAGGAGTCTCTGTGGGTCATAGAGTTGCCACCTCCTTCTGCCCTTTATTTATTCCCTCCTGGCAGTGTGCACACTGGTGCCTTATCTCCTGTCCAGCCTCTTCCTATTTTCTCTTCCTGCTACTTCCTTTGTTACCCACTTTCATAGCAGTCTGTTGTCGTTCTTTCATTGGCCTTATCATAGTTTAATTATTCTGGGTCTATCTTCACATCATGGCCCTGACATTACCTGGTTTCTTTACTTGTGTTTGTCAGCATTTAGCATGTTATCTGATGCATAGGAGGCTTTATACATTTATGTAGAGTATATCTTTTAATTTTTTATCAGTTGACAATGAGTTAAAGACTGTACCCTCTTAGACCAGCATATTCTTTAGAGCAGACTATAGACACTGTATGATAGGGTCTTGTGAGGGATAGATAAGTGTTAGGAATTTTGCTTATTGAACAGAATATAAACATGTGGTAAATAGCAGTTATAAAATAGTTAATTTTTAAGTAATCTTTAAATTTTCATATACTGAACCTTACCAAATCAAAATCTGGCTCCTGCATACAACACCCTCAGCATGTCCAGGGTACAAGAGGAACTAACTTTGGAATACAACCAACATTTACAAACATTTATTTTCACAACTACACTGTAAGGTAGCTAATTTTATCCAAGTTCTAAGATTTAAGGTAAGCAACATTGAAAGATTCTGAGAGTTAATTGGCTTGTGGTAGATCACACAAATAAAAACGGCAAACCTGACTTGTAACCCTGTTCGGACTATGAGACTATGAAGTGCCCAGAAAGAATTTCTGCTGCACTTTATTGCTTGTATTGGATCAAAAAGCAGGCTTCTGTATTTACAACCCACCCGAGATATTTTGGGTGGTAGCTCAAAATACCATATTGCCACCCACATTCGGGGCTAATTTATGCACTGCCATTTGTGGCCATATTGTTCTTGAGTAAGAACGTAAATTGACCCAATACATCAGCCGGAAGCAGGTCTTCCTTTAACAGCAGATTCAATGACTTGTCACATTTCCAAACTCCTCTGGGTGTCATGAACAGGGGTGAATGAGCACTTTATTTAAAAATATGAAGGAGGTTGCTATTTCTGTGACATCACAAGATTGTAGTTTACTGGTGGATAATACTGACTTTCCCTAATATTATACCAAGTAGAAGTGACTACATTTATATATTTAGGAAATTGAAGTATCTAGGACTTACACTTAGGGGGAATAATTTGGCATGCGAGTAGGAATGGTAGTAAATCATTTTAGAGACACATCAGAGCTATTAGCCTCATGAGATATGGCCTTCACCACAATCACAAACACATTTAGGCCATTAGTATGAAGGGGGAAATGCGACATTTTTCTTCGCTAATGCTTTTAACTCTGACTCACAATGCCCACCCTTTTTTCCTCCCAGGTCACCCTCCAAAGAATGTCTGACTACAGTCTATTCCCACTTCTAGAAAAAAAACAGTATCCTTATTTTTAGAATTTATTCCTTTAAGGTATGGTTTCTTTCTTTAAGGAAATAAAATAAATAGCACTGAATTGTGTTGATACTTGTTATTTGTGGAAAAAAAGAGAGAACAGTTTCAAAAACAAGGATTAAATAAGTAATAAAAATAATTTTAGGAATTAAATGGAAAGAGAAAATGGGAACCATGCATTAAACTCTTTGTTCTTTCAAATATCATGTACATTTTAAAAAGTTATACAACAGTAATAAATCAAGAAATGGAGGTTTTTTCTTATTGATATAACAGGACAATTTTAGATGACTTCAAATTCTAAGAACTAGGGAGGTAGCAGACACAGCTAATATGTTCCAACATAAGAATCTATAAAAATGACATGCTAATAACCTGTTACTGATTATTAAATAAAGGGCTGACTTTCTACTTCAATGGTTTAGGGTTACACAGTTTGCTAAAACCAAGCTCTTGAATTCTAATCCCACCTCAGTCTTTAACAAGCCCTAAGACTTTGGACAAATCATATAATGTCTCTAGGACTTAGCTCTCTCATCTGCATAATTAAAGAACAATAAATTGATCAAAGTCTTCCTGCCATTAAATAATGTTATCATTTGACAGCTATTAATATAGGGTTTTTTTAGTCACTGAAAATATGGAAAAACCACTTCAATAAATATATTGAATGCATACTTTTGCCAAATACTGTGAAAATGCAGAGGTAAAAATAGTGAAGTTTCATTAGCAATTCCCCATCCCAGTCTCAAAGGTAAGAACTTTGCATTGTTATATGTAAAACCCAAGATGTGGGAACACGTAGTAATTTTTTTTCTTTCTTCATCCTATTAGTACTGGCTACTAAAGCTGTAATACAATCTACAGCTGATCACATGGTTATTTTTTTACTCTAAATAATATTGCATATCCAATTTTAAACCTTCTATTTTTACTCATTCAATTGATTGTGGGGGGGTTATTTATATAGAGGCACATTGGGTTTTAGAAGACTTCTTTAAATGAAAAAATAAAAAGTAGTTCCTGGGATTCAGAATAACAAGAAGTTTGCAAGGTTACTGTTTATGCTAAAGGGTTTGGCAATCTGAAATTTTTTTTACCTAAACTGAATTTCCTTTAAATTCTCAAATCCTTTTAAAAGGGAGAAAATGTAGTAACTGCCATTCTGCATTTGGATTTATCAAATCAAATTATCTTATTCAAGATAACATCTTAATGGAATATTGTCAGAGGATTTGTGTCTCCTGCCTGAAAAATAAATGGTTCTCCTGTTAGGCAGCAACAGGAAATAGCCCCTGATGAGGCTCCAATCTATGGACATTATGTCTAGGGGTAAAACTACTGGGGATTGAAGGATCTTCCTCATGCTGAAGTTTTCTCTAGCATAGCTGTGGCAAGTTTAGGTTTGTGACTTACAGTGTGCGGTACTGAATCTCCAAGTACAAGTAAATGACTTGCATGAAATGCCACACATGTGAGTGAGAATAAACATTGCTATTAGAACCCCACCCAAACCACAAACACAGATAGCCAAAGAAGCCTACTGATAATAAAGGGAGCAAAGAGATGTATTATGCTGTCATTGAAGACCCTGAACTCAACTTCTATGGATGCTGCTTTCTCTCCTCAGCAAAAATAAATTTTAAAAAATCAAATTGAACCCTAATGCTTAATATTTGTAGTTTAACTTAGATGTCTTACTGAGTATTTCGTACACTCCAAGGGTTGGACAAAGCCAAATAAGAAAAGTATACCCATGTCTCAGCTCTTGTGCTTATTAACTGAGTGAAGTTGGGCAGAGATCATTTACCACTTGGAGATTCCTCATCTGTAACATTTAGATCATCAGGCAATCATTGCATTAACTACTTCAGCTAGTTGTTAACTGGAAAAAATGTAATTATGTATGTGGAAATTCTTTGTAAGCTGTAAAACCATATTTAAATGTTAATTGCTAAAAAGAGACTATCTCATTAAAAAGCATAGCGAGTTTTAGGGTTTTTTTTTTTTTTTTGCTTTCTATTTGAAGTGTCAAGTAGAATACTTAGTACCAAATCTATGCTTTCTCAATTAATGGATTTTTAGTGGACATCCAAAAGGGCAGAATTAAATAAAGCAGGAAGGGGTGGGGAAGGAGTTTGGAATAGCTGAGTATCTGGATGATACTAAAGAGCTAAGTTAAAAATATTCATAGTTTAATATTTTCTGTGTGTATGAACAATTGAGCTTTGGTTGGACAAGTTTAAAGGGAAAACAGGTTGAAGAATTCAGAAGTAGGAAGGTAACTATAGAGATTCTGGAGAGTTTAAAGTGTCTGGCTGAATTTTGCTTAACATAATATCTGAACACATACTTCCCTAAGTATCAGCTATTTTATTAAAAGTTAGTAATCAGCTCATGGGCCATTCCTTCCTTGATATTTAGGGACCCTCAGCTTCACATTCAAGACTACAATGTGCTTGTTTTTTTTTTTAGGGTCATCACATTATATTTTATTGTTTGTGTTCTTTTTCTTCTCAATTGACAATGATTTACTAATTTGACACATGATGTCAGACACAGAGCTTGGCCACATTAAGTCCCAAGTAAATGCTTGGGAAATGAAGAAGTCGCTGCCTTTTGCCTCTCTCCATGTCTAAAAGTCTCTAAATCCCACTGCTAGTCATGCTGGTCCTCATGAACTACCCAGAGCAGTTTCAGTGCCCTGGTACTTCTCAAAGTATGATTCCCAGATCAGCTGCAGGAGCATCTCTGAGGAGACTGTTAGAACTACAAATCTTTGGCCTTGAACCAACCCTATTGACTCAGAAACTCTAGGTGTGTGATCTAGTAAGCTGTAGCTGTACAAGCCCTCCAAGTGATTCTGATACATGGTAAAGTTGGAGATCCACTGCTATAAGATGTTTTATGGACTTTTAATTCCTCAAGCTTGGAAGATGCAAAGAAACACGTGATTACCCTTTGACTATCAACCAGTGACTTTAGTAATATTGGTCTTACCCTTTCCATAGACACATTTTTTCTATTATCAGAAATATAATATCATACATTTGTTTCTCCTATTTTCTTTACATTTGTTTTTAATTCCAAGTCTAAACATGCATTAAAATGTTAGAAGTCTTTTGTTACTCTTGGGGAGTGAGGAAAGGTGATTTCTCTGCTTCCAAAGACTTAGAAAGAATCTTTCCTAAACAAAGCTTCTTGCCTTTAAAGAGATAAAAGGAGTGATACTGATGATGATGGATTTTATAATGCATTCAATTCTGGGAATGTTTTTGTCCTGGAAGAATTGAGAATATAACCCCTGATCTTATAATTGGGGAGCCTAAAAAGGACCAGAGAGAAGAAGGTGTAATATATAGAAGAAACTCTGACCCTTAAAACGCGTCCTCCTCCTGTAATTGGGGTTTGACTTTATGCAGGTTCTTTAACTTTTCTGAGTTTGTTTCCACATATGAAAAATAAATAAGCTTGATTACTTGATGTTTAACAAAAGAGAATATGGGTTATAAGAAAATGAGTTTTAATTGTTTCTTTTCACCTCTTTCTTTGCAAATATACTAATGCGCCACTGTAGAATGGGTCTCTTCTTCACCCAGGCTGAGAATCCCTAGATCCTGTTTTTAAAGGCCATTGGTGCTAAGATTTTATATAAATGTTGCATATCTAAGAAAACCCAGACCAAATTGTGATAGCCATGGCTGTGATGATCTGTAATAATAATTTTAATTTCAACACATTTTTCAGTTCCTACTATCTCTATTGGAACAAACATATACTTTGCAAAAATATAGATAAGAAATACAATTTTAAATAAACAAAAGTTATTTGCAATTGAAACTGAGCAGAACACCATAAAATTACAAATATCATCAACAACAAAATTATAGACAATGTAATGTTTTTAAACAGCTGAGAATCTGGTTTTGTGAATTACAGTATGAAATGGCAATCATCACTAATGGTAAGGGAAGAATAAATTGTACTTTTATTAGTTTTCTATTGTTGCATAACAAATTATCACAAACTTGATAACTTGAAACCATATCCATTCTTTATTTCATAGTTTTGTAATACAGGTCAGGAGTGTAGGTGAACTCAACTGCGTCCCCTGCTTTGGGTTTTATGAAGCTGAAATCAGGCTGTTGACTGTACTGAACTCTTATCTGTTGGATTTGGGAGAGAAACCATTTAGAAGTTTCTCCAGCTGTTGGCATAATCCAGGTTTGGGGACTTTGTTTTTGTTTTTGTAGTTTTTGAATTGAGGACACCATTTCCTTGCTTGCAATAAGCCTTAACCTACTCACTGCTCCAAAAGGCCACCAGCATTCCTTGTCATGTGGCCCCATCTGTCTTCAAAGCCAACAACAGGATCACATCACTCTGGAACTTCATATCTCTGATTTTACTTCCTGCCACAAACTAGCAAAAATTCACTGCTTATAAAGGGTTCCTGTGATTAGCTTAGGTCCACCTTTTTACCACATCCAATACTATAATAAAGGGAGTGATAGGCATCATATCATCATATTCACAGGTTTCATCTACCCTCAAAGGGAAAGGTTACTGAGCGTCATCCTTGTAATTCTGTCTACCATACAAGCCCTTGTGAGTGAAGAACAAGCCCTATTCTAAAACCTGCAGAGATAGTTTGAGGAGACATAATACCATGAAGAATGAAAGAAGGGAGAAAGAACTGTGGGATATAAGTAGGAGTGGACAGGGGCAGTCTAAGAACAAGCTTAAAATGACATCTCATCTTCCATGCATGAGTTTCTCCCCTTCTGTTTCCAGGTGACCAGCCTTCCAATGTCCTTCACTCCTATCCTCTCAAAGGCCAAAGGGAAAGATCTATTACTATGACATGTGCCAAATCATAATGTGCCAAGGTGTTATTTTTATGACTATTTGCAACCTCATCTCAAATCATGACATGAAAATCTCTTTCGCGTTCTATTTCTGGAATTTTGGAATAAACTAGAGGAGGTTTGGGTGGACAGGGTACCTGCAGGTACCACTAAAATTTAAGCAAAAAGGGGGTCATCAAGA